CTTACTTCAAACAACATCAACCTTCTGGTTTAACTGTTCTGGAGTACATTATTATAGTGCTGCAATACATGTTTATCACAATAAACCAAACCAAACCCACTCTCGTGGAGTTGGATCCACTCATAGCGACCCCTCCTTGGGTTTCCAAGATGGTATCACCAAGGAAGTAGATTGCACAATCATCCTTCCAAGGAGTGGCTGGTGGGTTTGAATCACCAGCCTTCTGGTTAGTGGTCACATGCCTTAGGCACTACACTAGGTCAGATGGGAATTTAATGGGCCTTAGGTGAAAACATGGGTTTAATGGATTTTTAAATGGTTTGCTATTTTAAATAGATTAAATCTACTTCGACATGCAATCTACTTTACAGTGCTTTTTAATTGGAACAAAGAAAAGGAACTTTTCATCAACATCCAGGTAGTAAATTCCCAGCAGTGGATATTTGTAACTTGTATATTAGCAACCTGAACTTTAAAGAGTATGTCTGTTTCTCAACATAAGTAATGAACACTTTAAACTCATTGAGAGTAAATTCAACCTCTTACTTCTTATTAAAACAAATTCATTTCTTCATTTGTATCAGCACACTACTAATTTCAGGTCGACATATTTTGTTCATAGTTGATTACAAGTCTGTCTCCTACCCCTAACAACAACAAAATCCATTGTCATAGAGTCAGTTCTGATTCATGGAGACCCTGTATGCTTCAGAGTAGAACTGCACTCCGTAGGGTTTTCAGTGGCTACCCACCACGCACTCCGTGGAAGGAACACTGGGCAATCTACTTCCGTAAAGATGTATAGCCTCAGAAACACAAAGAGGGTCATTATGAGTCAGGGTCAACTCGATGGCAGAGAGTTTGGTTTGGTTTGGTATAGCAAGGTTGGCAGTTCAAACCTTCCCAGCGACACTGTGGGAGAAAGACCTGGTGATGTGCTGTCGTAAAGATTTCAGCCAAGAAAATGCTACAGGGCAGCTTTAGTCTGTCACGTGGTGTCGCTCTGACTCAAAATTGAGTGAAAAGCAGCTGAGAGCAACAATCTTACAGAAGCAGATTGTCAGGTCTTTCTTCCATAGCGCTGCTGGGAGCCTTCCCTGGTGCTACTAGCCTTTTGTTTAGTAGTTGAGCAGGAATCTTTTGTGTCACTCAGGAATCTCTACTGCTTGTCATTGTTATTGTTAGTTGTTGTCAAGCCAATCCCAATGTGTAGCGATCCCATGTGCGCAGAGTAGAACCAGTCCATGTTTTCAAGGCTGTGGCCTTTCAGAAGCAGATGGTCAGGCCTGTCTTCCTAGACACCTCTGTGTCAGCTGAAAGCCACCAACCTTTCAGCTAGTAGTCAGTGGAGTGCTTTAGCCATTTGCTCTACCCATGGATCCTTCTCCTACCCAGGTTGTAATTGCTTTCAAGTCTGGAACTGTGACTTCTTAATTTACATATTTATAAAAGCCTTGCTCTGTGTTTAATTTGTGAATGTTCAATAAATAATTATTGAGTGCATTCTGATTACGGCTATCCTATTGTCAGAAGTCTTTGTTTTACTTGTTGTGTTTTGGTAGCTTTCACAAAATGGAGTTTACTAACAACTTTGTACCAACATTTAGGATTGAAATGCGTTGGATGAAGCACAGTGGAAAGAGCTTGGCAATAAAAACCAGAAAGACTTGAATCATGCAATTAGTCAGTCAGTGGTTTTTAAATGATAGATCAGGAACTTTGGTTGAACACATTTAGTAAGACATGTCCAACATATTTTAAAAAAAAGAATAGCGAAAAAACTATTAATAAGATAAGAAAGAATTGAACAGTTCATTTTGTTTCAAGAATCTTTTGTTTCTTGAAAACATACAGGCATTTTATTTACTTGTTGTGTTGTTGTGTTTGCTGTTGAGTCAGACCTGACTCATAGCAACCCCTCCTTGGGTTTCCGAAGCAGTATCACCTATGAAAGTAGGTTGCCCAACCTTCCTTCGAGGAGTGGCTGGTGGGTTTGAACTGTCAGCTTTCTGGTTAGCAGTCAAATATCTTAGCCACTATGCCACCAGAGCTCCCATTTTATATATACATATACCAAAAAAAACCTCACTGTCATCGAGTCGGCCCTCCTTGGGTTTCTGAGGCACTATCACTATGGAAGTAGATTGCCCAACCTTCCTTCTGAGGAGTAGCTGGTAGGTTTGAACTGCCAGCTTTCTGGTTAACAGTCAAATGCCTTAGGCACTATGCTACCAGAGCTCCTATATAGGTTTGTATATATGAATGTGTGTGTCAAACTTGGTTATAGAGTAAAACATACTTCTTCTGAGTAAAGATTGTCACAAAAAAAAAAAAAAAAAAGTTGAAAGTAACACTGAACTTTGGATATTTGAAAGTTTCAAAGTAATTCTGAGCCTCACATCGCCCACCTGTAAAATGGGGTTAATGGTAACTATCGTGAAGATTTATTCTGAAGAGTAAAGGCAGTAATATATGCAAACTACTTTGTGCATAGCACCTGATCTACTTAGTAGACATGCAAAGGGTACTGCTATTAGCTAAAACCAATCCATTTAAAATTTAATTGACTAGGGCTTGTTTAAGTGTATACAGGATTGAGTCGTAACTTTAAATCCATGAAACTGATTTTTAAAATACTTTTTGATTTGAGAGACAATGATTTTTTTAAAAAATTAATCAATATTGGCACTGCTCAATTTATTTATAAATTTTTGTTTGAAGACATTGCTTTCCAATTCAGTGAAAGTATTTCTGATTTATAAATCCATTCACTAAAGTAAATATTTTTTTAAAAAACTGGGATATGCCCAAAGGGACATAACAGAAATTTTTAGTAGATTCTAAGCTTGACCTATGAAGAACAGTTAAAGAATCTGGTGAAAGCCCACAAAAGAGAATATTTAAGATGACACTGGTGCCACATATTAAAAGGATCACCTTATTTCAGAGAGATTAAATGTGTTCTTGGCAGAAGGAAGAGTGAAGACCAATTTACTGGAAGTTATAAAATGATAGACTTGAGCTCAAAATGAGAAACAAAGAATTCTACCTAAGACTTGTTCCAAAACATTATAGCTACCTCTAAAGGGGTTAATACAGATATTTCATGACAATATGAGATTGTTGTCAAGGAATTCAATTATAGGACTGGGATGAAGGCAGGGTAAGTGTGGTTGAACTAAACAGCATTTAAACTGTCTTTTAATTTAAAGGTTCTGTGATTTCTAGACTGATTTGTATATACCAGACATCCTGATAGGCTTCCTACTAACCTTTTCTTTGACATGGAGCAATCTTATAAGACATGCAAATTGGATTTTTTTTTGGGGGGGTACATGTGGACCTTAAAACTGAATCAAGAAGAAAATATCCAGAAGGGTTATACATATTTTTACCTGTGAAGAGATCTTTTATCAATCAGGTCAGTTCTCATCAATTCTGAATTTCTTCCTTTATATTGTTCATTACATTTGTTCTGAGTACTTCATTAGAAACAAAAGTAGAAAAGAAGTCTGCCCATTAGGTCATTTTTAGCAGTTGTACTGGATGTAAGCCTGGGTCAAGGGCAGACTGAGTCAGGGAATATCAGCATAGGTTACATCTCTAAGAAGAAAACTGGAGCATGAACTGATGATGACTGGAGGGAAACAATTGACTCTTAAGTCTTACCAAGAGAAAGATCTGACTACTGGGAAGTGTTTCTTTTTTTTTTTTCTTTCAACCATGGGTTGTAATTAAGTCTAGGATGCTCTATTTCTTAACTATCAGTAGTAATGGAGAGTAGCTTTGTTGGAATAGATCATGGAGATGAATAAGGCATTCTCATTCAGAAGTTTTCAAATATTATTTTAACAGTTAAATTGTTTGTTCAAACCTCTTATGTAACAGCTTAGTATATAATGTAGCTTTACTGAAAAAAGGAGTTGGTCTAGTATTGCTCTATTATGAGTATTAGGGCACTTGGACCACTGCTTGTCCTCCTCCACTCCATTTTCAATGCCATGAAGCCAACCAAAACAAATCCATGGCTGTAAAGTCCATTGCAACTCATAGCAACCCTATACAACAGAGTAGAACTGCCCCATTTCCAAGGCTGTCTCTTCCTTCTCCCACAGAGCGGCTCATGGGTTTAAACTGCAGACCTTTTGGTCAGCAGCTAAGTGCCTTAACCACTGCATAATCAGAGATACCTATGCAACCAAAAATATACCCACATTGGGGAAAAAAAAAAATACCCACATTGGGGAAAAAAAAAAAAAAAAACCACACCCCTAACACAGTGCCTTCATTTTGCAGCCAGGATTTCTTTGTATGCAAGGGAAAGAGAAAAATGTTTTAGAACATACTAGGAGAAAAATCTCTAATACAGCAAAACTAACTGATAGAGTGGTTTGCAGTGAGCATGCTGTAGTAATGACTGTCTTCATGAAAAAAAGAAGATGTAAAATAGGAAGACTTTGGCCTTTATGCTGTCTGAATCAGATATTAACAACTCAAAAGTATAATTGATCCACCATTTATAACACCTTTCACAAAGAACAAAAAAATCTGGGAAAATTGACATATTTTTCTGAATATAAACAATCGTTAAGGGGGATATGAAATAGTTTTGTTTAGATGCTTTGTAGATTCTGCAGCAATGCCTTTTTCTAAGGAACTCTGCAAAATAGCAGCTGGTTTCAACAAGCCACCCTTTAATCTGCTGTGACAGTGTCTCTAAAAGAAGAGGTTGGTTTTCCTTTTCATGGATTATTTGGAAATCGGCTGGAGCCTCCAGAGTCTTCCCAGGATTTGTTCAGTGATCTCAGGATAAAGGAAATGGAAGAGGGACCAAGATCAAGCAACTATGATTTACATAGTTACAGGTCTCAGAACTTAGTCCAAAGGCTAGGTTTAGTTGTTACTGATGTTTTTAATGATTACAGTGCCAGTGAGCTCATTTCTTATCATTTTCTGGAATCTGAGACACCCTGAAGGTGATGATACATTTACCACCTGCTTCAGTGCTTTTTCCTTCCTGAATCCTTGATTGACTTTTTAATAGGATCTACTATTTCTTTGTTTGAAGACTCTTCATGCCCGGTACCACTTGCCAACTTTGTACATGGGGGTAACTCTCCCTCAGGAAGAAAGTAAGTCTGTGTGCCAGTAGTGCCGATCACCAGCACATTTTTCTTCAAGTCAATGGAACATTGGTGTCTCCTGAGCATGTCTAGTCCTAGAAGCATGTCCATGGGCTGCTCCTCAAGTATAGAGAAAGAGCACTGCAAGAAATCACCTTCGATTTGAATCTGAGCTAGATGAACGCGGCCAATAATTCTCTGTGTGCCCACTCCTTTAGCAATCCCAGCCCATCGACAGTCTACCAGCCTTAGTATGTTACATCTTTCAGCACAGGCTTGGCTCATGATGGTCATCTGTGCACCTGAGTCAACAAAAGCCTTCAAAGGATGTCCATTCACTTTGCAGTTAATGTAAAGCATTGCCACTTGTCCAAAACTCTCAGGTGCTTCTTCCATCGCTATGTTCATGTTTTCCTCAATGTTCTGCTGCCGAATTTCTTCTTCTATTTTGGCCTGAGTGTCCAGATCAAATGGGTCAGCAGAATAGAGGCGAAGCTGCTCTTGTTCTCTCAGTTCTTGCTCCCTTTGCTGTTCCATCAGGACCTGAGAAAAGGTTTCGAGGTTTCCACTAAGCAGAGCTTCAGCCAAGCGGGGGTTGCGCTCCTTCAGCAGAGACAAATTGTGGGGATTGGAAAGCAGCATGCTTCGGATCATGGCTGGGCTGTCCAGACCTTGAGAAGATATCGCCTCCTCTCCAGAGGCAAAGCCACAGGCCTGCTGAGCTGTTTGTGCACGTGGTTGCTGCTGCTGCTGGTACTGCTGCTGGCGTGAGTTGGATGTTCCAGGCATGGCTGTCCCACTTAAGTCTACTGGAGGCTGGTTTGGTGTTCGTCCTGGAGGCTGAGATCCCACATTCTCCTTCTGAAGTAAGACTACAATATCGCCATCTTTTAGGCCATAGGAACCCAGGGAAGACTGGTCATCAGCAAGGAGTCGCTCCATATAGATTATTTGGGTTTCTTCAGCAGGAATTCCAGACTCGAACTCACAGAGTACTCGGAAGTTGTGAAGCTCAAAATCAGGGCTGACCTGGAGAGAGAAGGTTACCTCAGAGAGGTCCCTCCTCACACAGTACACAGTGATCAGCATGGCATGGACCCAGAAGGGACAGGTGGGCAGATGAAATTGGATTGTTCACTGGTTGACTGGAGGTGGTGTCTGTTAATAAGCCACTGTTTTTCACAAGTTGGCTTCGTTGCTCAGGCTCATTCCCCTCTCTAAGAGGCACAGCCACTCACCAGCCAGCTTCAGTGCCTGCTGCTTAGACCCATGGAGCCTTGAGGTAGCTTATGTTCCAAAGTTCATTTGTAGGTGTGCTCTTTGGAACTTAAAATACTATTCCCATGGAAACAAAATTGTTCAAGTCCTTTAGGTTCCAAGGGCAGCTCTTAATAGCCAAATGAAGACATGATATGGAAAAGATTATTTCAACTCTTCTAAAACAACAAGTTAACCTCCATTCTGTTCATTTTAAAACTTTATTCTATATACTTTTACTTGTCCCCTGTGTTATTTCATACATGACATGTTATATTATGTGCTTGTTTATGAAAGATAAGCCAGACTTGGTGTCTCCCCTTGAGGATGTAACATCCTAGGAGGGAGTGACGGGTAAATACGTAAATCCCAATACCAGGGTTAGTGCTTTAGCAAAGATGTGCTTATCTTACTAAAGAAACCAGTAGAACAAATTAAGTTTCTCTCAAGAGGACATACTCAAGCTGGATGATAACAGTGACCATTTTCATGAAAATATGAAAAGTGTGAGCATCACTACAGATAAAAGGAATTCATGACAAGGCCTGTTATTTCCAGAGAAAGATACAGCATTCAGTGTAATAGGAAGAATTTGTACATGGATTTGAATGGCAGGATATAAAGCAAGAGCCAATTTATATGTGAGTCCAAAGAGTTTAAATGTCATCGATAGGCAAGAATCCCCTCTTTACGCACACACAGAGAGAGAAAGAAACAGAGACAGAGAGAGATAGGAAAAGATTTGAAGAAGAAACTTAGGATTAGTGGTTTGGTTTGGTTTTAAAATTCATTAAAGGATGACATTTTTGTGACATATGGAAGATACAGTGGTGGCAGAAGGCTCAGTTAGGAAGCTTTCAGTTCAATGAGATAGCTGTCTGAAACACTAGGGAGGATTAAATTAAGCCGTGGGGAAGGAAATAAGCATAATGGACAGGATCTGTTGACCCTTTGGGTGGGGGAGTATAATAAAAGCAAATTGTGTGGATAACAGAGTGTCTCTAAAATGGGATACTAGTTACAAATGGAGACATTAGGTGGTTCAGTTAATGCACTTGACTCCTAACCAAAAAGTTGGCAGTTTGAGTCCACCCAGAATCTCCTCAGAAAAAAAGGCCTGGCAATCTACTTCCAAAATATCAGCCATTAAAAAGCCTATGGGGCACAGTTCTACCCTGACACACATGTGGTCCTCATGAGTCAGAATTGACTCAACAGCAACTGGTTCAGTTTCTGGTTAGAAATAAGTGTGGTCTTGAATAGACCAATGAGATGAACCTTTGTGGTGACCAATTTGTTGTTGATTCTGCAGTAAAATGATTGTAAATGCCACATTGGAAGCCAAATGTGGATCTCTGTTGGGGCAAATGGTGACAGGGTAGAATTCCCTGAGTGGAATTTAATTTTCTCTACATTTCATGAAGTGTTTTTCCCTGACTCAGTCTTCTGAGGTGTAATCACTTATGGAACACAAGGCAATCAACATTCTCTGCCTCCTTTCCTTCAGTTATTTTAAATTTTGTCACAAAGCCTCCATCATCCCATAGAAGATACTGTATCAGTTTGAGGAATTTTTTGTTTATTTATTTTTGCTCCTGTTTCTCATGTGTCTGACGTCTTAGATTGAAGTAAATGTCTCACTCATTGCTCTAATTTTCATAATGTTTCCATATTTTCCATATTTATGTTAGAAAAGTTGACTGAATTCACTGTATGTGAAACATGTGCTAAGTGTACAAACATGAACAATGTAAACGCAGGTTCTATCTTTAAAGAATTTCACAGTCTAAAAGAGGAAACACATGCATGCATACTTGAAAAATTTTGGGGTAAAATAAAAAACAGTAGAAGCCTGTGAGGGAGAAATTTATAATATCTGTAGAGAAAATAAATGAGGTAATGAGGGCTGTTAGGAAGGCTTCCTGGAAAAGCTAGGCTCAAAAGTTGAGAGGGAGTCAGCCAAGCAGGTTAGGGTTGCATGGAGAAACAAAGGAAAACTACCAAGAAAAGTGTGGCCTGTCTTTGAGTCTTTAACCAGAAAGACAACACTTAATGATATGGGAATTGTGTACAGTTTTGAGGGGAAGAAATCTAGCATTGTAATTTTCCTAAGGAAAATTGTGAATTATTTAGCTATTTTTCACTATTTATAGAGATGACTAGCCCTTTGACACAAAATATTAAGTTACTAAATTTCTTGACATCCTGATAAGTTCATCAGAGATCAGTAATAATCACTCCTGAGTTTAGAAACAATACTAATGTGAGTGATGTCACGTGAAAATCACTAAGTTAA